TATATATATATATATATATATGTATGTATATATGCATATATACACATACATATATACATACATATATATTTGAATGTGTATGAGATCTAAAGCAGATGGTACGAAAATTAACCCGAAACAATGAATCGAATGAAATACACAGGAAATCGATTCAGAATGAAATAATATAAATAATAACAAAAATAGATAGGAGGAAGAAAAAGAAGAAGATAAAGAAAAGAACAGATCCGAATAACGACGATCCGAAATGATTATCCGACACACGGAGCGAAAATGAAGCAAAAGATTCGAGACAGAGATTCAGTGAATTCGCGACAGTCGGAACCCGAGAGTCACTGGATGCGGTCGTATCCTAGTAAAGCGTTTTTGCCGCACGATTTTCCTTTCTCTGCCCTCCTTCGCAAACATTGTCCTTTCACCCAAGCAAGAATAATGATTTATCGGAATTTAATTATCATATTCAGAAATAAATATACGAAAGAAAGATGGAAGCGGATCTGTATAACGAAAATTTGATTAGATAAGAAGCGTTTTGGAGGATAAAGATCTTAAAAACGTTGCATAAGCTTGCGAACTGGACTGCTCTTCGTTGCGAAATGCTGCCTGTCTTCCCTGTATCCAGAGCAGTGTCATGAGGTCATCACACGGCAGGAAAACCTACGCTGGTGCTGGTCGTGTAATTAAGGCATAACTCCCGAGCGGTAACCATTGGGTGGCTGGAAGGTGAAAGATGGTAAGGAGAGGGTGAGAGAGAGTGGGAGGAGGAGGAGGAGGAGGAGGAGAGGGAGGAGGAGAAGGGAGGAGGGTGAAAGAGAGTGAGAGGGGGAGGAGAAGGAAGGGAGGGAGGGTGAGAGAGAGTGCGTGAGAGAGAGAGTGAGAGAGAGAGAGAGAGAGAGAGAGAGAGAGAAGAGAAGAGAAAGAGAAGAGGAGAGAGAGAGGAGAGAGAGAGAGAGAGAGAGAGAGAGAAGAGAGAGAGAGAGAGAGAGAGAGAGAAGAGAGAGAGAGAGAGGAGAGGGAGGGAGGGTGAGAGAGAGTGCGTGAGAGAGAGAGAGAGAGAGAGAGGGAGAGAGAGAGAGAAGAAGAGAGAGAGAGAGAGAGAGAGAGAGAGAGAGAGAGAGAGAGAGAGAGAGAGAGAGAGAGAGAGAGAGAGAGGGAGGGAGGGTGAGAGAGAGAGGAGGAGGAGAGGGAGGGAGGGTGAGAGAGAGAGGAGGAGGAGAGGGAGGGAGGGTGAGAGAGAGTGAGAGGAGGAAGAGGAGGAGGAGGAAGAGGAGAAAGAGAGAGAGAGAGAGAGAGAGATAGATAGATAGATAGATAGATAGATAGATAGATAGATAGAGAGAGAGAGAGAGAGAGAGAGAGAGAGAGAGAGAGAGAGAGAGAGAGAGAGAAAGAAGAAGAGAGGGAAGAGAGGAGGAAGAAGAGGGGGAGGACGACGACGACGATGACGACATGGAGAAGGAAGAGAGAGGGAAAGGGAGAAAAGAGGGAGAGAGAGAATACAAGTAAAAGAGAAATGACAGCAAAACATTCGTTTAAGTTGCTGGTATACTGCAGTATATATCTTCCAATTCCCGCTAAAACTAGTTATCGTTCGTACACAAACTGTCACAAAGTTAATATATACAGCAGAGGCAAAGTTAAACAAAGAAGATTCAATTACCACCGGCAGATTAAACAGTCGATCCATCGGGTACTGACGTATGCTTTCTGCAAATCATTAAGCAGATAGATAGATTAATAGATAAATGAATACGTTAATAATGAAAGAATAAGTTATCAAATAAAAACAAAGAAAAAATCGATAGTCAACGTACCCCTTTCTCTGTACCTAAAAAAATCGATCTTCCTAGTGTTGACAGAAGAAAAGAAAAGAAAGAAAGAAAGAAAGAAAGAAAAAGATCTGAATTACTTGAAACAAAAGAGAGAATCAGAGGTTATGACATCTTATTTAATGTGCGGTGTGTTATAATCATCAAGCAAAGGTAAAAGGCTTTTGTAATGAGACCATCTGTGCCGTTGCAGGTAAGGCTATGAGAGGTCAGGGTGACGTAACACACTGAGTGGAGGACCAACAAACGGGATCCTTAAGTACTACGTGCTGAGAGGGACTTATACGGTGTATGGGTTGGTTTATGAAGGCTGTGCGAGTAGAATGAAAAGTTGTCTTTATATAAAAAAAAGAGAAAAAAATGAGAGGGATGGATATGTAAAAAAAATGAGAGGAAAGAATATGTAAAAGAGAGGAACGATAGGAAGGAGGTGGAATAGATCGATAAATAGTTAGGGGGAGAGATACAAAAAAAGGGGGTAGAGGTATGAATACAGATACATATAGAAAAAAGATGTAGGTGGAAATATAGATAAAGTTATAGATATAAATAAAGATACAGCGAAAGAGAAAGAGACGTGTGGGCGTAAATAAACCCTCGACGGGAACACACACTCGCCAACCAGCCAACCAACCCCAGCTCGCGACGTCTGCGTGTGTGTTCGTCTGCACGTGCTTGTGACCTCGGACGGGCAGGGATTGCAAAGGGCAAGCGGTCCCGAGAACGGAAAGGTGAGTGACCCAGTCAGGTCAAGATTGCGCGGCCGTGGAAAGAGAGAGAGAGAGGGGGAGAGAGAGAGAGAGAGAGAGGAAGAGAAAGAGAGAGAGAGAGAGAGAAGGGTGAATGGAGGCCCGTTGGTGAAGGGTATATAACCTGCACGGAGACCCTGCTTGGGCATCACACACACCCTCACTTCTAAGCCATCATGAAGTTCGCAGTGAGTTTTCAAAGCATATTGTTCTTGTTTCTTATCTTGCATTTGTGGTTCTTAAAAGGGAAACGCAGCGATAGGTTTTGTAAGATTGAAGGAATAATTTTTCTTGATGTTTGTGAGAAGGAATCGGTGATGTGCCTTTGTTTCTGTCTGTTATCGCTTAATTTTTGTCTAATTAAGCTCTCTGATTTGACTCTTTGTATCAGGTTGATTAAGAATTTACATAAATCTAATCTAGTAGTTCTTATCTAAGTTCCTTTGTGACTCCCGATAAAGACAAATCTGGATACAAATTTGATGCATCGATAGTCTTAAGAATCATCTTAAATCGTATAAATGCAATTGTACAGTCGAATCCAAATCTATATCTGCATGTTAATCCCTTTATCGCAAGTGAATTTACTCTTAGAAACGATACATTGTTACACTTATAGAATTTCCATTGATGTGATTTATTTATTTGATTCATCTATGATTATTTTCGTTGTAGCAAACCGCCAGAAACGAATCAGATTTTATCTTATTATCTCGTTTTATCTTATCATCTTTAGGTTGATTAGAAATCAGCCTAATCAGATTTAAACATCTACTCGTCTTTTGAATTTAGAGATCTGATTAACTCCTTAAATAAACATCAGCATCTCAAATTATTCATTTAGCTTTATTCTGTCTTAAACGATTATATATTCTTCTTATAATCGAAATCAAGATTTTCTTCTATTTATTAAACCAGTTTTTCTCTTTGTCTCTATGTAAGAAATTCATAAATGAAGGTAGATAGAAGCTTACGGATCAACAGATACAATTAACTCGATATTATGTCATCAACCGAATTATTCGTTCCTATTCATATATTTTTTCTACATTTGTCACTGTAAACATTTTGTCATTTTCTAAATTTTAGCCATTACGAGAATCTTTATTTTAAAAAGTTTATATTCTTCCTGCATACTTTTTTAACATTTTGTCTTATCTCCATCAAACCTCTTTCTATAAAACCCTTTCCTTACCACTTCCATCAAACCCCTTTCTATAAAACCCTTTTTGGTTTAATTTATACTAAACCTCTTTCTAAAACCCTTTTCCTTACCACGTCCATCAACCCCTTTCATAAAAACCCCTTTCTTAACCCTTTCTCACCTCCTCCAGGTCGTCTTCTTCGCCCTCTTCGCCCTCACCATGGCCGGCGACATCGAGCTCGACCTTGATGATATCCACCATGACCTCAACATCGAGGGAGCCAACGCTCAGGGTACATACAGGTAAGAAGCCCTTGAATCCTTCTGATAAATCGATAGCTGGTTGGATAAATTAGATTTTGTTATTTAGTTTTAATGCTATTTGTTACAATGATACGTTGATAATGGGGTAAATATTAAACTGATAACTGTTTGGTCACATACGGAGGCTGATAAATTGATGTTTAAATGGTAGAATCGATTAATAGATGATTAAATGTGGTAACTGATATGATAATCGTCGTTAAATATGTCGTGTTAACTTAATGCAGCAGCTGGTTAACATGATAACTGATAAATTGAAAAATGGTTGGATGAATGCAGTAACTAATAAATGAAAGAAATATTTAACTGGTTAAATACAGTAAATAATAGATCGACAATTAATTTGTTATATTCAGTGATTGATAAATTAATAACGATAAATTTGTAACTGGTTGATTGAATATTGTGACTGATAAATAGGTAACTGGTTGATTTAATGTTGTACCTGATAAATCAGTGTTTACTCATTATTGCCAATCGGGTGCTACGTTTACTGATAAGATGGGATTCAGGATCAAATGAGTAATGTGTTTCAATATCAATGGTAAATTTGGATTTACATTTGTCAGTGAGTTAAGAGATCTTTCCTTGATTATAATAAAAATGATGATTGAACATGCCAATGAAAATCATGATATAAATACCTGTTCTGGTAAATTAAGAATTACCCGAACTGACAACCCTCCTCCCCCCCCCCTCAGCTGGACCTCCCCCGAAGGCGTCCAGTACTTCGTCAAGTACGTCGCTGACGACGACGGCTACCGCATCGTCGAGTCCAACGCCGTCCCCGCCTCCGCTGACGGCACCGCTGCTGACGGCCACCAGGGATCCTTCGTGTCCCTCGAGGATGTTGACTACGACGACGACAGGAAGTAAGGAGGAGGATTCGAGGATTCCAACGACGTCTGACTGATCGATGTCTTCCCGTCTTGTGAAACGATACACTAGTTTTGCTTATGATTTGTCTTTTAGATTTTATTTTTCGTTTCTCTCGTTCTCTTCTCTCTCTCTTATCTCTTCTCTTCTTCACATGAACATTTAATCTCCTTTCTTCACATACTCGTAACGAACACGCCGAATACCCGTGTTTTATTCCTTGTTATCTAGTAGAGTAAGAAATCTCCACACAACCGTGAACATCTGAACATCGTGTTGACTATCTGTCTTTTGTTTCGAGAGTGTCTTGAGGATTCAACGCCTCTCCAAAAGGGATTCGATCCTGATTATTTATTTTTTGGTGAAACGATGCTTGTTGAAGCAGGGAGCGTGATGATAAAACTTTATTTTTTTTCTTTCTTGGCTGATCTACTTCAGCTGTTTATGTATCCACCTGTCGCTATTTATTTCATTGTAAATAAAATCATCTGTTGATAAGTGTATTTTATTGTGAAATCGACACCCCAAAAATCTAATTCTCGAAAAGAAAGAGAATCTAACGTATCTAAATTCCATTCGTCATGGAAGACCGATAAGCCTATTATGCAACCCAGATTAGAAAAAAATGTAACCCTTTATATTTCCTTTTACGTTTCCATCAACTTTCTCGACGTTTTACTCCTCCTCTCCATCCATCTCTTCAGGTTTCCAAAGACCAGTTGCATAGATCTTGATATCGAAGAACAAACCAGGTCCAGAAAAAAAAAGAAAAAAGGAAAAAAAAAGACAAATATCTTGGATTGTGAAGGTGGATATCCTCCTGGTCTTCCACTTTTTTCTTTCTCTGCTTCAAGTTTATCAGTGATGCTTTTTCACTGCTTCTGGTTTTATTTCTGCCTTGGAGAATGAGTGCGTGTTGACGTACATACATGCATACACAGACTTATGTACATACATACATACGTTACATATGTCATACATACATGCATACATATATACATAATGCATACGTTCAGTACATATATATATATACACACATACACACACATGCTATATTACTAAAGGTAAAATATAAGATACTTGATATTATAAAATATAAGCATAGAAAAATAATTTGAAGCAAAGACAGACCGCAATCTTTCACTGTAATTTAGTTTTCTTTCGCAAGATATGGCAAATTCTAAAATCAACACAAACGAAGAGATACTTTATTTATAGAGTCTGCATTGGGTGAACAAACAAGCAATGTGATTGAGATAATGGATAAAGATATTTATTATGATGGATTTGTATCTGATATGTAAAGTGGATGATATTATATCATGTGAAGTTGTATTTGGTTTCGTTTGATTTATTT